TTAAAAAAAAAAAAAACAATGTAGCACTATGAGAAGGTTTTGTAAAACTGAGCGACTGTTTGGTGAAACTGATATTATTTGGCCCATCTTGTAAGTTCTCATCTTTCCTCTGAAGAAGACTTAGTAGTTCTGGGTTGACATACTCCGAGTTAACTTTCCATTCTCTATTTTTTCACCTATGCAGTGGCGCGGGGCAGTAAGCTGCAGCTCGGGAGGCTGAGACAGGAGGATCACAACAGTGATCACAACAGTGAGGCACTAAGCAACTGGATGAGACCCCATCTCTAAATAAAATACAAAACAGGGCTGGGGAGGTGACCCCGTGGTCGAGTGCCCCCACGCTCAATCCTTGGTACCCAAAATAATAAAATAAAGGCTTCATGTCCCAGGTACACTTATTACTTGAGAAGCTGAAATCAATTGTACTTCCCAGCTAGTGAACCAACACGCTTGCAAATAGATCCTTTTGTGGCCCAGCTCTTTTTTATACCTCTCTGAGGCTTTACCTGAGAGGGGGCACTGCAGGAGAGCCCAGACAGCTCGCTGATCCTCGCGGCAGCTGTGGGGTTGCTGGAGCTGATGAGCACAGGAGGGCTGATCTCCATGGAGTGGCGGTTCTGGGCGGCCTGGGAGGACTTGTTTGCCATGGTGAGGGAAGTGAAGGAGTGCCGCTTTTTGGTGTTCTTCTTGGTGTCRGAGTGCTTTGGGGCAGTACTGCTCTGGGCTGCTGCTGAGGTACATTCTCCAGCATCAACTCCTGGCATGGGAGGCTTGTCCCATTCTATCAGCTGCTTAGCAGCCGAGTTAAACTGCAAAAGCAACCAACAAGCCAGCGTGAGAAGTCTCATTGAGGTTCACTGTCAACGTGGTTTTTGTCAAAAAGTGTCACCACTTTCTAGTTAGCACCTACAAGTTACATTCTGACCACGGGAGACATCGTTCCTGCTGACACTGGGATTTCATTGTATTGCTGTCACAGGTAGATATCAAATCAAGAATAATTCCAATGCAAGACTTGAAAAGGTAAAAACAMTTTCTTTTTTCTTTAGGAATTTTCAGAAGGTCTAATTTTAACATCTGCCAGAAACACATGAAGACGTATTTCAGCTTGCTGACGAAATTTAGAGAACCACCAAAAGGGTATTCAGGTATTTGACAGAATCACCCTGTTACACGGTAATGACTGGGCATTTGCTCAATTTGAACATTGAGGGAACAACTGTTGGCTTTGGCCAAAATGAGCAAGACAACAAAGAATAAAACCGTTCAGTATTAATGCACATGCTCAAAAACAAAACCTCCTGCCTCTGAGGGACCCCACAAAAAAGGTGGTAGAAATTCTTGATATATTTTTGTCATGTCATTTTGTCAGTTATTTTCACATGTGCTCAAATTTTAAATCATAATAGGGTAAGACATGAAATTTGAGTCCTCTCAGCAAAGCTAACTTGGTCTATTAGAAAAGTCCTAGTATAAAAAACAAAGTATGAGGGGGTCAAAACATATGTACTGGGTTGATAAGATCAGCAAGAAAGGAAAGAACATTAGCTTTTTGTTTTCCCTGAGGCAAAAATAAAACATTTCCAGAAACCTTTAATGATAACAAGCTGCATATGACTTACCTAGATATTACAATAATGAAAAAACACTGGGCACACTACTTAACCTCTTGTAAAAAAAAATTTGAGGTGAAAAATAATAAACTGTTAAAAGGTAACATAGGTCACGTTAAGGACAAAGGAGATTTTCCYATCTCAGATTGACACACTCGGCACTTCACAATGCCTTTATATGAAAGAGTATCGTCTAATGTTTTCTTCCTACCCACCTCCATTCTTCAGACCATGTCTTCTCACCCCGAAGATGAGATGCCCTACTAGAAGGGAAATCCTGCCAGTCAATATTTAACAAAATAGACTTGCTTAAGCACACACAGGCTCCTCGGGAAGCTGTTAATTGCAGCTCAACAGCCCAGGTGCTTCTACAGAAGATTGCAAATTGACTGACAATTTGTTCCTATGGCTCCCTGGGGACTGGAATTCAGGTGGCCTGTCTGAACCATAATTGGAAGGATAAATCTTTTTCAAACAGGAATATCTCTTCTTCTTCAAGGAGTCTTTCAATGGGATAAACTTTCAAGAATAACAGGCAGCAGTGTTGAATAAGACCTTACCAATGCCTGACGTACCCATGGCAGGAGAAAGGATGGTGAAGATTCTTGTGGTGTGTGTTCAGGGATGAAGAACCAAATTGCTATAAAAGGGTGGCCCGACTAAATCAGTATAGTGACGTTTGGCCAGGAAATCCAGAATTTATAAATCCTACTTTAGTCTAGGTTTCCCACCTTCTAGGTGGCCTCCAAGGAAACCAAATGCCCCAAAGAGGCAAGGTAATGTTTTGTTATTATGGAGGGGGAGGCCCGACCTCAGAGTACAGCTCTCAGGAACTTTAGTGAGCCCTAGKGGGCAGGGTCTGAAGCAAACAGGAAGCAAAGCAGGCTGCAGAGTTACTTCCTTTCCCCATCCCAAATTCATCACCTCTATGAAAGGGAAAGCCAGAGCACCCAGCAGTGCTGAAGGAAGAGACGGAGAAGCCTTCTTACCTTATGATGCCATCTCCCCCCAAGGCACACACCCTCCAAAGCAAGAAGCCTGATCTCTACTCCAGAATCTGGCTAATCAACTGGACACTGCTGCTCTGTTGAGTGAGAAACCTGAGGGAGTGTAAGAACACTTCCTCTTCCTTAGGGGCCAAAAACATGCAGAGGAGACTGCTGCATCTACTTGATGTGGTGTTTAGATTAATCTGGGAGTCAACTCATCAACTCTATTAGCTGATCTTGCTTTGAAATATTACCATAATAGCAAACTCAGCCAACCACTACTTACAACTAATATTGTGTTAATATTTCTGGTTTCCATAGACTGTCCTCTGGTATAAATATCTGAGAATTAAATCACTGTTCCCTGTATTTATTACCATTTTTTCTCATAAAAATACTGGGTGCTTCCTTTGTGTCTTTTTCTATACCATATCCTCTCCATTAAAAGAAGAACACATTGAGCATCTATTATATGCTGGATAACAGGCTAGGTGCTGGAGATCTACAGAGAAATGGTCTCTGCCCTTAAGGAGCTTTATAAACACACATTTAAAAAAAAATAACACAAATGCTTTCCATAATTTCTTAGGTCTGGCTACATTTGCTCAACAATATGCTTTTTGAGATTTGTCCACATTGCTCCATGAATCAGTTGTTTTCAATTGCTGTGTTAACAGTCCAGCGTGCAAATAAACTATTATTTATCCATTCAACTGCTGATTGAAGTTTGGGTTTTCTTCCTTATTTTCTCCTCCCTTTCCTTCCTTCCAATAGACTGGATATTAAGAATAAATACAGCCATGAATAATTTAGTACATGTCTTTTAGTGGACATAAGCACTCATGTGAGTATATCAGGTACATACCCAGGAGTAAAACCTCAGGACCATAAGGCGGATATATTTACAAAAATAAAGTTATACGCAGATGCATGCATATACCAGAAGCCACAGCATGGTATGGTAGAATTAGCATGCTGAGAGACAGAAGACCACAATCCTAGGGCTAGTACAGCCATTAACTAACTCTGTGACCTTAACATGGCCCATTTACCTCTCTACTGATCACAGCCTCCTGATCAATAAAATGAGTATTATGTCAAAGCCAATGATTTGTATGTCTCTTTTAGCTCTCCGCATGTACAATGCATAATATCACTTTACACATAGTTTATTTTCCTATTTTATTTCTATTCCCTTAAATAACCTACTGTATTTTTTCTGCATTCTATTTTTACATAGGGTCAGTCATATTAGTTAGTAAGATGTCATCACACTTTAAAATCACTTTAGATTTCTTCTGAAGCAGCAAAAGTTACTATGAATCACATTGCCCCTTGCTTCGTTTTATAAGTTCCAGAGAAAATGGTAAAGTGAGGACTAGGTGGAGGCTTCGGGTAAATCAGACTGGAAGCTCAAGAGGCTTTTGTTGTAAGTGTAACTAAGCCTTTGGTAACAACAGGAAAGCAAGGATCTGACAGCTTTAAATAGGATTTTGATGAAATTCATTTATGAATGTTTGTTTGAGCTCAGTGGTATGAGCTTTCTGTGACATTTATCTAACTGTGACCTTTAAAGTTAAAAGTGTACTCATCAACCACAAAATAAATTTGTCCCCTAAAATACCTACTTCCAAGCATTTGATGAGGAACTTGGACAAGACTTAGGTTGATACAAAGTAAAATTCAGTGTACTGGAGCTAAAGGCAGGGACTAGGGATTTATTGATCTTAAAATTCTTGTCCCTTTTTGAGGAGAAGCTGAAAAATCTATAAAGATTTGTCTTTGGGAGTTATCAGAAATTTAAGTAAACATGGCAGAAAATTGACAAAATAATATTAATAACAATAAGACATTTTAAGAAATATTAAAATGAGCTTTCTGTGCATGTGGCTACCCTCTTTGCTAAAGAGAATGTGGTCTTTTTAAAAGATGAGATTTAAAACTTTCTTTTTTTAATCTTTTTTTTTTTTTGGGGGGGGGTTAGGGTTCTTTTGTTGTTATTGTTTTTTGGAACTAGGGGTGGAACCCAGGGCTTTGCAAATGTAAGGTGGACATTTTGCCACTGAGCTACATCCCAGCCCAAGAGACATTTTTTAAAGAGAAAATAATTTTAATGAAATCTACATTTAGTACTCACTATTTAATATGAAGCTTTTCAGATGAATCAGTCTCTAGCTTTGAATACCAGAGAATAAAAATAATAGGCCTGAGAAGGAAATATTTTAATCTATAATCTACTGCAGTATCCCCAAACTAATTGTTTTTTGATAAAACGTAAATAAAACTTTCAAAAAGGAACAAGTTCGTTATTTTTTTAAAGAAAATAAACTGTGTGTAGTATATTATGGGGAAAGAAGTCAAGGGTCTCAACCAGTTACCCACAACTGTCTCCTCTCAACCCGTTTCCGGGGTGTATTTGCACTTAACAAATTCATAAAGAATCCTTCCACACATTTTCTATGTAGATGTCATATAATGCATCTACTTTTAAAATTTTTAACACAAATGAAACCAGGCAATACATACTATTCTCTCCTTTAACAACAGCTCATGGACGTATGTCCATGTCAATAGAAGCAGGCATGGCGTTCTGTTATATACAGATGTCATCATTTAATATATTTTGGCATGCTTATGCAAGCATATCCACGGGGTAAGTTCCCAAAAGTGAATTTAATATTACCACAGTGTAAGCTTAAAGTATTTTTTGAAGAATATAGTCAAATGATATCACTTCTGACAGTGTCTTTGTTTCCCCACGTTGTTAACTCCATTAGTGTTACCAAGGACTGGTTAAGCCTCGATTAGTTGGAAAGGTAAGAAACTATATTGTATTGTTTAGTTCCTATTACTATATTTTATTAGTGAGATTAAGCATTTGTTTTCTCTTTTAGCATTTGCCTCTTTCCACATCTTCTCTGTATTGGTATTCTTAATATATAAAGTACTCTTTATTTGAGATATGAGTGTATACATGTCTAAGCTAGAAATATTGTTTCAATTTAAATTAATGTTTTTGTAAAGAAAATTATATTTTGCTTCAAATTTATCAATCTTTTCCATTACAGCAACTTAACATCAAGACTTAAAAATCTTATTTCATGTTTGTTTTTAAAAGGAAACCCTTTTCTCTTAGTATTTAATGGTTCCTTCCTTCCTTCCTCTTTGTACCTCAGCCTTTGAACCACATAACTGCATGGCTTTTTT